CCCTACCAAAGTAAATGTAGTAAAAACACAATCATTTGTCCTAGAGCGTTATAAATCTAGAAGTAGAAAATACAGGATTTTTAAAATGGGATCGTTTTTTTAGGATTAGAAACACAATCATTAATCTGTTGAGGGTAATTAAGGCTTGGACATGTGTTAGTAATTAACCTTGGCTATGGAAACTATGTGTCTTTTTTTTTTTTTTTTTTTTTTGCGGGGAGGAGGGGAGGGTTAAAGCTCCTTCAATTTCTCTTTATATCCAGAAAGTAAAAGCTCCATGAAGTAGGTAAGCACATGAGCGCTGAGATTCTCTGCAGAAACCTATTTTAAGGTAGAGAAATTCGCCACTATCTGGCCTTCCACATGTTTATTATATCAAGTAGCTGAAGAGGATATATGGAGTACTTACAAAGAATCCTCCACGCAGGTAAACTTCATTGCTAACTTGATTATAAGATTAGTGCTAATGTTACATCCAGTTGCGGACCGTGGAATGATACGTGGGTGGATCATGGGTGCAGGTTTCAGAAGGAGGGGGCTGTATTTTAAAAAGATAGCTTCTTTCACAATACTGTCTATACAGATTTCTATGGGAGAGACGCTAGACTCTAATCCTAACTCCATACTTGACTATCTGTTGTGTTACCTTGAGCAAGTCTCTCTGAGCCTAGCTTCCTTTTTTTTTTTTTTTAGAGGTTTTTGCTATAGGATGCATGCGCTCGCCAGAAAGACAGAGAGAGACAGAGAGACAGAAAGTGAGAAATCACCCCCCAGGAGGGATGGTCACGCTGCAATCCCTTCTCCTCCATTCTCCTCTCGAGATCTTGGGTGCGCGCACACACACGTGCCTGGCGTGAGTTTTAAACCACCGGGTCCAGGATGCGAACTGCGGCCGACTGCGTGGGAGTCCAACGACATAGCCAGTATGATAACTGCTGGTTCCCACACTATGAGGTTTTTACCAAACCCTCATAACTCTGTATGACTGGGATTATTATCTATATTTCACAGATTAAGAAGCCAGGCTTGGGACCAGCAGTTAGCATAATGGCTATGTCGCTGGACTTCCACATAGTCGACCATGGTTCGCGTCCTGGACCCGGTGGCTTAAAACTCACGCTGGGCACGTGTGTGTGCATGCCGAAGATCCCGAGAGGAGAATGGAGGAGAAGGGATTGCGGCGTGGCCATCCCCCCTGGGGGGTGATTTCTCGCTTTCTGTCTCTCTGTCTCTGTCTGTCTGGCGAGCACATGTGCCCTATAGCAAAAACTTATAAAAAAGAAAAAAAACTTCATAGTGTGCTGTTCAATTCTTGAAACGACTGTTACTCCATGTTTAGTCAAGTTTTATTGGCAATTATAATCTTCCTTCTCTAAAAGAAACGTGAAATAATGTGGCAGGCAGCAAGGCCATAGGGGCGAGGCAAGATGGCGCTCAGCGGAACTGAGCTGAGTCATTATTGAGATAAACAACCTTGAGGAAGTGGGAAGGTGGAGGCATGTTGCGAACGGGGACAACTCATGTCACCAATCAGTTGTATGGAAAGGGTCTTCCGTACACGTGTACAGAACCCTGGTTGGCTTTCCGTACACGTGTACAGAACCCTGATTGGCTTAGGGACCTACTTAAGGAAGGGGAAGCGAGGAAGAAGAAGAAGACTGTAAAAGCCTGGGGTAATAAAGCATTCCGGAGAAGACCTTGTCAGCGTTGTCATTTAAAGCGACAAAATAAGAGGGTCAAGGAAAAATTTCAGGTGCTGCAGCAATGGTGAAAATGCTCTTGGCACGGTCATTGGGGCAGCAAAGAAGCGGGCATTTGCCTTGTTCTATACCATTTTGAGACTAGGTAGCATGAAGTCCTTCCCTTGAGAAAACAGAAGAATGTGCCTTTGAGATGAGATTTTTCCTCATGAGTAACGGCATCATTTTGTCCCAGTTATCCTAGAAAATGGACAAGGTAGCCTCAGAATCGAAAGCCAAGCTCTTGGTTTCTGAATTCCCCAGGACATTCTGAGACAGGACTCTATATTAATTTCCTATCACCGTGTAACACATGGGAGCTTAGCAGTTTCTTTTTATTGTTTTTTTTTCTTTCTTGTTTTTGGAGAGGTTTTTGGGACCTAGGGCATACACACACATGCACCCGACGTGAGTTTAAGCCATCGGGTCTGGGACTCGAACCACGGTCGACTACATGGGAGTCCAGCAACATAGCTATTACACTAACTGCTGGTCCCAAAGCTGAGCAGTTTCAATGTGCAGGTATTACTCATAGTCTCCACAGGTTACGAGTCCAGGAACCACTTAGCTTATCCTCTGCTCATGACCTCACAACCCGCAATCAAAGAGTCAGACTTATCTGATGCTCTGGTGGGTCTTCCAAATCCTCCATGCAGTCATTAGCAGAACTCAGTGTCCAGCTATGGAGGCCTTCAGCCTCTAGAGGCTACCTCTTCTAAATATGTGTGTGGTGTGTGTGTGTGTGTGTGTGTGTGTTGTGGGGGGTGGTTGGGTGGGTGTGCATTTCTGAATTGAGCATCTTGTCTTTCTGGACTTCTGAGCCACACTCTCTTAATAAACATGCTTATCTTGTAGTAATTTAAACCAAATCCCAAATCTAAGTGTTTTCTCTGACATACCAGTTTATTTATGTACAAACCTATTTAGCCTCTCATTGCCATAAGCCCCTACTTACTACTGTCTCCAATTCATTCTTACTGGTCACTTATTTCCTATCTCTGGCTCATGAGAGTGAGATCCCTGTTCCAGATCATCAACCATGTCTTTGCGTTGATCAACCATGTCTTCACATTGATCAACCATGTCTTCGCGTTGATCAACCATGCCTTTGCATTGATCAACCATGCCTTCATGTTGATCAACTATGTCTTCACATTGATCAAC